ATAAAAATGATAAAAGTCTATGATAAGTGTGATAAGTGGCTCTCAGAACTTCCAAAGCACCAACAAACAAATGATGGCAAACCTAATAAAGTTTACTCTTTAGCTAATGACCTGGAATGCCGCTAAACTCGCAGTTTTAATTAGTTTATTAGCATCTTTTTCACCTGTCTGTGGCATTTCTAACAGACCTGCCTACTGGGGAGAGGGACTTGGGGCCCTATTATACTCTGGCTCAAAACGCAATGCAAAGTGGTTTTGCTAGTTTCGTAGCAGCGCATTGCTCATTTTCACGCCATGTGCACCTGCTTTCCGTGTCTGTGCCTACTAAAGCCGGGCAGTTCATCCAATTTTAATTTCAACTGCACACCATGTTGGTGATCTTTTCTGGGACTGGAGTTCGTCTACGAGGATCGCCAGTTGTGTGACTAGGGTGGAGTGGAACCGCTGGACCAGCCTGTTGCTCTAAGGGTGAAGGGTTTCTGCAACACCCCGCCTGCTGACCTCGTCAAATACCTGAGCCTCAAAGTACTTCCCCTGGCCTCTGTTTCAGCTCCTCGGGGGTCCCAAACCTGCAAAAGTACTCCTCGACCAGTTTAGTAGCTGTGGTGGTGGCATTCTGATATGTCGACTATAAAATAGTCGATGGCCATGAATATGTAGCTGTTCCTGGCCTTCTTGGGGGGGACGGGGCCCAGGATGTCCACCCTCACATGCTCCAGGGGAGCGCCCCCCAGGTATGGCTGCAGGAGAGCCTGGAACTGCTGGCTAGGACCCTTTCTGAGCTGTGCATGTATCACAACAGTGCATGAAGTGCTTGGTGTCCTGCAGCTTCCTGGGGTGATGCTGGACCTTGAAATCACACTCCACCAGCACATCCAACCAACAGGGGATGAGGGATCCGTTCTCACCCGTAACTGCTGGCCACTGGGGTAGGGACGGAAATGCTTACATGCCTGCATCATGGCTAGCAGTTCCCGTCGGGTCACACAGTAGTTGTGCTCCTGCCTACTTAGCGTTTGGCTGAAATACGCAACCAATCGCTCCCCTCCGGGTGCCACATGCGAAAGCACAGCGCCGAGCCCCTCGCCACTAGCAAGGATGACACAGCTCTGGGTACACAAGCATGGGAGCATCAGCAAACGCAGCGCGGAACTGGTTAAATACTGCGGCACAGACATCCATCCACACAAAACCGCCTCTGTCTTCTCTGGGTTGATGGCCACACCTTCCCTGCTGACGACGTGATCCAGGAAGCACATTTGACTCTGGAGGATAGAGCACTTCCGAAGGTTCAGCCGCAGTCCCACCTATCAGATCACGTAGAGCACAGTTTTTAAGTTCCAGAGTGCCCCGGTAAAGTCAATGGCATGCGTGAGCAGACTGAGAAAGACAGCGCCCTGGGTCGGGGGAACGTTAGCCAGGACGCACTCCATGAGCATCTTGAAAATGGCTGGAGCATTGCACAGGCCGAACAGCATCGACTGAAGTGTCATAGTCTGAGGTGCAAGAAGCTGAATCACGTCGACCCGGCGCATCGTGAATGCACAGCATCGAATAGGAGTCCTTCCTCGTCTCCACGTTGAGTTGTTGGTAATCAACACAGGATCACCATGACCCATCCTTTTTGGCACCATAGGCTACTACAGCTACCCACGGGCTGTTGGATGTCATATCTTGGATTGTCTGCTCCGCCTCTTGTCGCTTTGCCAGGGATAGTCTGTGTGGATGCAGCTGGATGAGCGAGGCATCTCCTGTATTGATGTGGTGCTGCACCTGGGATGTGGGATGGCACTCTTCATCCTTGGCAACAAAGATGTCCCAGAATGAGTCCAAAAGAGCTTTCATCTCATCTCGCTGCTCCAACGTCAGGTCCAGGCTGCTACGCTGCCATAACTCCTGGACAGCTTACACCATCTAGGGAGACAGCCTCGCTGCGATGTTACTGTGCTCCGCAATCCGGACAGGACTCGGGGTTGTGTCACCAGTGATCTTCCTTCAGAATCTGTGGGGTGCTCTCTTCCCCCTCTGTGACGATTCCTCTTCTCCTCTTGCCCGCCACCGCTGTCCATGGCCGTCACTATCACACTGGAGGGCCACCACGTTTATTCTACGGTGAAGGGCTGCCCCCGGAACATCGATGGTAGCCCAGAGGCGAACTAACAGGTTTAGCCCAATGATGCAAGGGTCAAAGATGTTGGCTAGCCAGATCTCCTGCAACACCATGTGGCCTGCTAGCGGGGCCCCGCAGCTGTCTCTTCCCCCTTATGGCTGTGTGCACACCAGTCACTAATGCCAGCTGGTGCCCGGCACCACACCCGGGTGGATCAGGGTGATGGTGGACCCTGTATCCCCCAGGGCTCGGCAGGGAGTTCCATCCACCATGCAGTCGATGTCGAGGCCACTAGTCTCACCAAGGTGGCCCACTCTTGGAGCGGTAGGGGTTGGACTGGTGTGCGTTGCGGGTGGCGTCCCCATTACGGCAATAACATCCCCAGCCTTTTATCATTGCGCTGTTGTCGATCCTCCAGCTGCTCCCTCATCTTCCCCTCTCACTGTCGGTGGCTGAACCGCCACTCCAGTACAGTAATCAGGGTCCCACAGTCGCTGGTTCTTCTGGAGAGAGGCTTTGAAGAGCCTTCAGTGCCACCCCCTTCAGCGACATGGCCAGGCGACTCGCCATTTCCTCAGGGGACCAGGCTCTGAGCCATGCTGCCAGCCAGACCTGAGTCAGGTACTGTAGGGCTCCAAGTGCCCCTTTCTGTCATAGTGGGACAACTTCAGGGGGGCCTTGATCTCGACCAGCTGCATCCCCGTTCTGTGCTGCTGCCGCTTGGGTAGGCGGGGGCGCTAGCGCCATTGGATTGCTCTGGGAAGGCAAAGTGCTCAGTTCCTGAAGGTTCCCTCTGGTTGCCTGTGCCCCTTATATGTCGGGTTCTTTGGAGCTCTTCTGGCTCCCTCTTGAGCTCCGGGATGGTTGCCCCCTGTTCTGACACAACTGTAGTGAACTGACCGATCATGGTATCAGAGGGCGTAGTAAGAGGCAGGAGGCAATAGGATTCAACCACAAGGGGATCCAGCGCTATGTTTAGAGTTCAAGGAAATACTTTCAAGTTCAATAAATGCATGACATTTCCAAAGTAATCGTAAACTATTGTGACCTCGAAATTGACTAATATAATCATGATTATGATTTATGCCGTTATCAAGCAGCCCTTGTGCCTATCTTCTTGAAAATTTCAGCCTATTCTGGATACACTGACTGCTTTCTGTAGCAGTGTCTCATAATGCATAGCTATCATGTGCATCTGTGCAGCTCTACAGAGATTCTAATTTACATTTGATAATAATGCAGTGTTCCTGTAACAGTAAGACTTTGGGTTTAAAATAGAATTCTGGGATAGTGTTAGTTTCCCATTTCTGTGGAAGTTAGGAGTGAAAAGATAAGTACGGTGACACCCAAAGTCAAACTGCTATGTAATGACCTATTACATTAAGCTTTCAGTAGCAGCACCTTCATTTATTTTAATGACTCTGCCTTTATGTTTCGATTTCGAGATTCCACACCAAAGGTCAGGCCAAGAAAAAAAAGTTTTAGCTCAAGGTGCTAATCCAGGCAACAGCTGGGCCTCAACATTTTGTAGTAATGATGTTTTGTAAACTAGATCCGGATTTAGGTGCCATAGTAGTGCTAGTCTAAGGATCACCCCGTGCGGCTCTGTAATTCCATGCCCAGACTGAACTCGTGGCTTGCAAGGCGAGATGAATGCAAAAGGGGTGAAATGTGTCACAAGCCAATGTCAACGATGGAGGCTGGCACGCAGAACGGACACCAAGTCACTCCTGTGTGTAACCATGATACCAATTGCAGGCTGTCAGCTATTTCAGGCTGGACCCCTCAGTGTCTGGAAATTTATTTTGCTTTCGTGTTTCTAATTAGACTTAGTGAGATATAACTTGAGGTTTGCACTGCAAAGCCTATGTTTTGCTGGAGTCCTAAGCGAAAAGACTGGCTTGCGGGATGCGTCCCATGGCGGGAACATTACGAGATGTGACAGACTTCTGTTTAAGGTTGCAGCCTTATATAATTGCCGCGATTAGCATCCTTAGTGGTGAGTGACAGAAAGAAGCATGTGTTCGAATGTTGTCATTACAGTAAATACTAACTGAAATTTCATGTTGTTTTGCTGTTTCCATACTTGTAATTGTATATATCAGATTCATAATCATAATTCATATTATAGGAATACAAGACAATAAGTGACTGTATGTAGACAATGTAACAGTATAACTGAGCTTCTGCTGGGTTTGGGGACATCGGTAAATATCTCAAGGTATATAATGTGAACAATCGTATAGTAAAGACACATACAGAGGATTTAATGTCAGTCCTTGAGGTTATTAGACCTACCTCTTCTCAAGGTACTGCATGAAGGTAGCAGGCCACAAAAAACCCATCGCTTGTGTACTGTACACCTCCAACAGGAATGCAGTCATAAGCGATGTCGGCAAAACCAGAGGAGCTGCCTGCCACAGGGATACATCTCAGACTGGCTCATTCAGAGACCGAATAGGGGAGAACGTCCCCCATCACTTCCCATAATTTGCAATAAATCCCAGCTGAGTCCATTCGCCCCATTTTGTTCCTAGAAAAGGTTTCGTGTAAAACCTCAGAAGGAGTATCGCTCCCATAGTCACCAAACTGATCTGGTGCTAAAGGGCACAACATCTGTCTGCACATCTGCTTTGATGTCTGCTGCTTCTCCATGAACGATAACTACCAGAAATTTTCAAGATAAACCAGAGCACCATTGCTTACGCCTCAGCACATTATCGAATACTAAAAATACCAAGTTTAGTCAACCTCTGTGCAAAAGTATTAATAATATAATATAATATGTAGATATGGGATTAGATATCTCCACAGTGTCCAGGTATCTTGTTTTATCGTATTACCAGCCATACTGCCGGACAGCTGCTGTGCACGGGAGTGTTTAAGGATGCAGAGGGATGCTGGGTGCTGTTCCCAGTCGGTGGTGGGGTGGCGCCCTGCTGAGGACGAGCAAAGATGCCTGGGCCATATAAAGCAGAGCCCATGCCCTCGGCTGAAGCCAGACTCCAGTGGTAGCGGTGGCAGTGCGGAGACTCAGGTGTCAGCCCATGTGCGGGACTGCCGCTCATAGCGGGACAGCGGGGCAGCTGCAGCGCGGCTCGGAGAGAGGCCCGGGGAGAGGCAAGCAGAGGGTACCTGGTCTTAGTTAATACATGCCTGCATGCTTTAGGAAAAGGAGTGTGAGTGTGTGTCTGCATGAATGAGACGGTGAGAGGGATAACAAATATTCTTCATGATGTCAAAGATCATTCAATGTACTGACTGTATCAGCACACACTTTTATTAGTTATATTCTGAAACCTTTCTTATTTATTTGTTTCCTTCTTTCTGATAAGGTGAATGTATTCCATAATACATACACAGATAAATATACACTAATTTCAGTATTTCATTTCAGTATTATGGTTATAAATATGTAAAATGAAGATTTTTGTAAATTCTTTTAGAGTATTGTTACATTTAAAATTGGTTCTTAATTTTCAAATACCCTTAAGATTTTTACACTTGTCTCTATATTTATATTTACTGTTCTATACATTGCAGCATCATGGTCAGATTTTAGCCAAACAATAGGCAATTGTAATCCCTGAAAAGAAAAGTATTGTGAACATTTACTTAAAAGGATACAGATTGCGTGTGTTTGTCGCTGTATAACTGAAACATTGTTTATTTCAAATTTGTCATTTCCAACATCCCAATACTGAATAAGAGACTGAGTGATGAATGCAAGAGGAGTTTCGGGAGTCTATCTTGTAATACTTTGTTTAAAGGGTAACCACGTTTGTAGCTATGATTTAATATGACATGTGGCTTTTTCCATAATTTTCCACAATGACCATATTCTTTAAGTATTATAATTATCACAGATTACATTACCCACAAAGAAAACTATGTAAATATAGTACATTGATAATGAATGGGACAAATGCATGTGCTTGTAGTATCATGATATCATTTGTCATGGTATAAAAATGTTTATAAATAAGAGTCGGAGACTGCCAGGAGAATTTAGAATTCATTTAAAGTTGGTCCTTCATATTTATCAACAAGAAGCCAATACAAAAACACACAAAATAGTAAGATAATTAAAATACTGTACCGATGCAATACAACGTGCATGCATTTATTTAACCAAAATTGCATGCTTAAACCTGCAAATCTTCACTTGCAAATGAATAAAAGAATTACAATGTACGTAACAAACATTGAAATTAAAAAGTGAATGAAATGCTTTTATGAAAAATGGAGGGCAGTGGGATTTATTGTTTATAAAGAGTATAAGGTGAGTGAAAGGCCTCATTTGAAAGACTCAACCCAGAAATTTTGTCTTGCTTGTACTTACTCTCCTGTCTGTCTGAGATAATATGAACAAGGCAGTAATACTGAATTTTCTACACATGATGCGACAAACTATTGTCTGAGGTCTATGAATAACCTCTGGATATTGCCAAAAAGCAAATGCTTTGTACTTTCCATTGTACTCTCTCATTAGTCCTGGAACAACAGCGTAATATAGATGATGCAGTGGGAATTTGGAGTTGTATGGTGACATTAAAGCACTAAAATGTGATATTTGCAGGTTTTACTCGGTTCAGTGTGTTTTAGCACCACCGGGGTCAGCATGGTGCACTGTGAAGTACTGGCAGATTCAAGGAATCAATCATTTTTATTAGTGCTGTTTAGCCGCAGGAAGTGTTAATTGTGCCTGGTGGGGTTGGGAAACCCCACACACATTGAAAGTACAATATTCAAACAATAATTGAAAGTGTGAAATGTCATTCATTTGTATCTTTGTTTCCCTTAAGCAGACGTAAATGTTCATACTGAATGAATGTAGTGAAACTTGTAACAGCTGAAGATAGATAGATAATAGATATGACTATTTTAGTATAATATCCAAATACTTGCAAGTGGAAATTTAAATTATGCAAAAAAGGACAGATTATTTACATAGTCAAAGTTTTAAACAGGAGCGTCACTAGCGATTTATGAAAGGGGGGTGAGTCTTTACTAAGGGGGCCTAATATTAATGAAACTGAATAAGAGCCCAATATTTAAACTCAATTACATTACATTTATTGGTGCGGCTAAAAAATATTTTAGGAGGGTTAAAGCTGCCCCTAAAACAGTCCTAGCAATGCCCTTCATTTGATAGGTGAATTATGCATTATTTATTGTGATCAGCCACAAGGATTGATGCTTTTTTTGGAATGTGCAAACCTTTTAAAATTATGGATGTTCAGAACGAACTTTGTAACGCCAGGTGGTCGATATAAATAACTGTTGTTCAGTGTTGACAAGTAAGATAAAAAGCATCTCTAAGTTCAAAATTAAATATATGCTACAGACCAGGTACCGTATTTACCTAGTTTAATTATATGTATCTTGAAAAATAAAAACAGTTTGTTAAATAGTTGATGAACTTCATACATTTTATGATATAGTTTCATTAAATTTCCAGGTAACACCATGTACTGTAGCTACAACTTAGAATTGCTTGTTAAATGCAATCTCAAATTAGTAAAGAACAAGGCCAACAACTTGCGGGTATTTTGCTTATATGACTGTGTTTATGATTTCCATGGAAAATTCCCCCCAGATCTAACATCTGACTCACTCCAGAATCAGCTATGGCAGACGGCAGCCATATTGATGAACTGATGGAACTGACAGCCCAGAGCTTAAGCTACCTTGAGATCAATGAGCATTTCAACATCATCAAAGAAATTGGCCGTGGAAAATATGGGAAAGTGTTGCTGGTTACTCATCGCTGCAAGGGTATGTCTGCAAAGATTTGTTCATGTTTCATGCTCATAGCATGGAAGTATCTAAATATCCACCATCCATCCATCCATCTTATCAGTGACACATATTTAAGAATGCACGTTTATTTGTTTTTAAATTAAAAAAAATTGAATTTAGATCTAAAATCTTACCTGACCTTACCTGACCAATACTAGTAATTACAATATTACAGTACTAGTTGCAAAATATTACTAACTACTAATTGTAATAGGCTTACTCATTACAAAATCTTTCCTTGTGACATGTTGTAGGCCTGCACGTATTTTCTAAAATATGTGAGACTGTTTATTTGATCATCACTTTTTTCCTGTTGCTCTGTACTGTAGGTACCCCAATGGCCCTGAAAGTCATGCCAAAGACCTCTACCAAGCTGCAAGGCTTTCTGCGAGAATACTGCATCTCACTGCAGCTGTCCTGCCACCCCTGCATCGTAGGGCTCTTCGGAATCGCCTTCCAGTCCGCAGAGCACTATGGATTTGCACAAGAGCTGGTGATAGGGAGGGACCTGTTTGCTGTGATTCAACCGCGGGTGAGTGAAGGACTAGTCACATTAGGACATAGCCTGTATTTTGTGTGTCATGTTCTATTTTTGCATCAAACGTTTAGGGCCTTAAATTTTGATGGAACTCCACAAAGCTCCCAGTTCTTTGCTATGGCGATTTACACGCCTTCACTTTGGTGACTTATACATATTAGAATTTTTGGGTGGTGTCTAGTTTCAGTTCAAGTTGTAATTTCAGAGATAAAGTCTTTTGAGATCTGTGACTAACCAGCCCTGAAATCTAAATAAGTAATTAAAGACATGCTCATGTGCAGATCATTTTACAGGAAAGTATCACGTTCCACATTCAGAATTTGAATATCAAAGCAATAATACAGTTATTGCAGTTTCGGTGTCCGATTTACTTTGGGTTGAAGCAGAACATATTCCACATCACCATGTTGTACACTGATTGTTATGTTTACTATTTATTATTCTGTTAATTCCTGGGAGAATAAGGTCTGCTATTCCAAGCTGTAAGAACGATAAAGTGATGAATTAAATTCAGATTCTGTCTGAATGGGTCACACTGCAGAATTCAGAGCAGCATCACCCTTTGCTTGGCACATAGAGCACTTTCTTTATGCTGATAGGTGGGCATCCCAGAGGGGGCCGTGAAGCGCTGTGTGCTGCAGGTAGCCAGTGCCCTGGAGTTCATCCACGAGCACGGCCTGGTGCACCGCGACATCAAGCCCGAGAACATCCTGCTGTCGGATCGCCACTGCTGCCGGGTCAAGCTGGCCGACTTCGGTCTATCCCAGAAGAGGGGAACTCTGATCAGCTTCATCTCGGGCACCTTACCCTACATGGCCCCAGAGCTGTGTGCGATGGCCTTGGAAGCTGGGCAGAAGGCTTCCAGAGCTGCCCCGCTGAGTGTAGAGCCAAGCCTCGACACCTGGGCCTTTGGTGTGCTCATCTTCTGTATCCTCACAGGCTTTTTTCCATGGGAGCACTGCACCGCATCTGATGACTTTTACCAGGAGTTCGCTGATTGGTGCCAAGAACCCACGGGAGCCAAAGTACCATCTCAGTGGAAGAGATTCACACCAACCTCAATGGAAATGTTCAGCAGGCTGCTGGCGCTAGATGCTAAGAAAAGGTGTAAGGTGGCTGAGGTGAGAGCCTATTTGAATGAAGACTGGGTGAGGACAGTACCCCCTGGTGGACGGGTAGTAGATCATGCCAAGGTCAAGGCTGGGTCCACCCTCAGTGTGTCCAGGAGCAGCCCTGTAACGGTAGAGGTGGAATAAAGATTATCAGTCTTGATGACTAATTATTTGGTAATTAAGCTTAATTATTAGTTTTTAGTTGTAATAAAAGAAGTTCATACATCAAAGTATATAAAAAATATTTTTGTAATGTATAGTATTAATACCACTAGATGTGGCTTCCTGTTTAGAGAGTGTATTGCAATTTAGAAATTATATTTCTGTTATCTTTAACATACACCAATCAGGCATAACATTAAAACCACAAGCCTAATATTGTGTAGATCCCCCTCATGCCACCAAAACAGCTCTGACCCATGGAGGCATGGACTCCACCAGACCTCTGAAGGCATCTGACACCAAGACATTAGCAGCACATCTGTTAAGTCCTGAAAGTTGTGAGGTGGGGTCTCCATGGATCAGACTTGTTTGTTCAGCACATTCCACAGATGCTCGATCAGACTGAGATGTGGGGAAATTGGAGACCAAGTCAACACCTTGAACTTTTTTTTCCTCAAACCATTCATGAAAAATTTTTGCAGTGTGACAGGGCAGATTATCCTGCTGAAAGAGGCCACTGCAGTCAGGGAATACTGTTGTCATGTGCTTGGTGTGCAACAATGACTAGGTAGGTGGTACCTATCAAAGTAACATCCACATGAATGTCAGGACCCAAGGTTTCTCAGCAAAACAAGCCCTCCAGCTTGCCTTCTTCCCATAGTGCATCCTGGTGCCATCTCTTCCCCAAGTAAATGATGCACACCTGGCTGTCCACATGATGTGGACATAAATGTGACTCATCAGACAAGGCCATCTTCTTCCATTGCTCCATGGTCCAGTTCTGATGTCCAGCAAGCAAGCAGTGATGTATTGTGTCTTCTGACACCTTTCTATCATAGCCAGCATTAACTTTTTCAGCAAATTGTGCTATAGTAGTTCTCCTGTGGAATGGGACCCAACAGGCTAGTCTTTGCTCCCTACACGTATCAATGAGCCTTGGGTGCCCATGACCTTATTACTGGTTCACCAGTTGGCCATCCTTGGACCACTTTTGGTAGGTACTGACCACTGTATACCAGAAACACCCCACAAGACCTGCAGTTTTGGAGATGCTCTGACCCAGTCGTCTGGCCATCACAATTTGGCTTTTGTCAGTCACTCAGATTCTTACACTTGCCCATTTTTCCCACTTCCAACACATCAGTTTCAAAAACTGACTGTTCACTTTCCCAAAATATAATGGCTCCCTTGACTAGTGTCATTTATTTTCTTCACCTGTCAGTGGTTTTAATGTTATGGCTGATCAGTGCAAAACATTTTGTTTAATAATACTCATTGTAACCATTGTAAAATTGTCAATAAAAATGCCTTAAAAAACTTAAACTGAATGTTTTTTTTTACGATGGTAAATGCAGCTGGATAAGAAATAAGATGCATGTCGACAACTGACATGAACAGTTTTTTTTTTGCACGATGAGAGCATTTCAGAGGTTTTCTCTGTAATTAGCTGCGATTCATTCATCTCATCACCCTTTTAAATGGGCGGAGCTGTCACGATTGCGTGGCTTGGGTGGTGCTGTCCTGTTACTGAGGAACAGCAAGGGTGGCACCACCAATCAATGAACTAATGATTATCCCCACCCAGGGACGCCTCTGTTTCAAGTGGCTGCCAAACTGTTTAGCTCAAGCTGTGATCCAGCAGTCCGTGCTGCTGTAGAATTTACGTCTCTGTGTGTTTGAAACCTCTTAGCTGTAGTTTTGTTGGGTTTCTACATAATCTGGCCTTGGAATAGCCCTAACCCCCATTCTGACTGATTCTTCCTCCTTGCTCTTGAGCGTGGACCAAAGACCAATGCGACCAAAGACCCAGAGCAGATTTATAACAATCTGGTAAGTGGTCTGGAGGCCGCTGAGTCCAGATGTTGATCTGTGGTGGATGTCCATGTGACAAGAGCACAAATGACCTCAATGGGTAAATGTGTCAGTTCACAGTCGACCACCAGGGCACAGATCAGATTTCCTTGTTTGCAGCCACCTCCGCAGCGTGTCTGATTGCGGTGGCCTTTCCCCCGCCCTGGGTTCAGCACTCCCTACCAATACCCATTTCAGCCTCAGATAATCTCCTGGCAGCTGGTCCTCTTTGACGGATGCTGGCTTTTGTGTTGGCCGTGCCTCAACAGGGCCGTTTCTGGATCAGTATTGGGTGTAACAGCGGAACAGAGGCAGTTTGGCCAGGGGCCTGGACTGACTCATTCTGCTGCTTTGCATTGTATTTAACCGGCTAATCCAGCCAAGTTTTACCCAACACAGTGGCTAAGGAAACCACTGTTGTGATTTTTCTTTACCCTGCTTCATCCTGGTGCTCATTCTGCCCAGTTCTGCACATTCTGTGCTTCACAGCATTCCACTATTCTCACACATGCCCAGTTAAAAAAAATCTTCAAGTATGTCATGCTGATTGTATTGGTGAGCTCCACCCCCATAACCCCCCCCCATTAAATTGTGAATACACATACGCGGGCATTTCTTCAGACTGTCAATAACATAAGATTTCCTGACCATTACTGGAGGCTTTCGTATCGCTAGTTTAAAATCAGATGCTCACTACATTTGCTACAATGTTACAGAAATTTTTGAAACATAGTAGCACAGTGTCCTTAATGTCTTGCATATTAATATATAATATTTCTCCTATGTTTTATTACAGTTGTCATATGGATGATGTTTTCTGCACTGGAAAAAGAAAAACTTTACACACGTGGCCACTCTTTCACAGTAGTACTTCAGCAGATTCTCAAACCGTGAGACGACGTGTATCACCTTACACTTACCACCGAGAAACTGTATCAATGATTGCATGAATGAAAGCCTATCCTCTATGTCAGTTTTTTACTATGTCTTACCTCAATTGAACCCTTTCTAAATGTCACCTGTTCTGTCCTTCTAGGATTATTTCTGAGCAAAAAGGACACGGCTCTTAGTGGAAGTGTTGTTTGTCTCAGTCAGCTGTGGGTATGTTTCTACGTTAGTGAATGCGGGTTCGCACTGTGCTTTGAATTTGTGGACTTTAACGAATTGCTGCTCGCGCTTGTATGGTCACATATTGTCCTCATAAATCATACTGAGGACAGTGCTTGCTTCAGCACAGGGAAAGTGCGAGTCAGGGGTGGAGAGCTTAGAACTGTCATCCACCACACATGCAGAACCGTAATCCTCTTAAACCTGGAGCATCCATCAATGGCCAATGTTGCTGGACGGTTTGAGATCAAATTTTAGAAAGGCAGACAAGCAAAGTGGAGTATAGAGAATCTTGGCTTAAATGTTCCTTTATCTTTACATCTCGGGAAAGTGCAAGAACACACAAACTCCTAGACCATTTCCGTTTCTTGTAGCGTGATCTTTTTCTTCCTTCTGCCTTTTTCAGAGTCCTGCCTTTGCGTAAGTGTGACAGAGTGGTGAAAGGCAGAGGCACGTGCCTCAGCACATCTGTGCCGGCTCAGGCGGTTCCCTGTCCTGGCACCATAAACCGATTTGGACAAAAGCATCTGCTAAATGTAAATAAATAAAAATGATGGAGGGGATCCCACAAGCTAACTGAGTTGCCTGTCCTTTTTATCAAGTCATTAATCTGTCAGGGTGTAATGCAAATTAGACATTGTCCCGATCTTTAAAACCCCAGCTATGCCAAGGATGAACTTTCAGGGCACAACCTGCAATAAACTCGGCTGATAAACAAGCACCGTGTTTGAAGCCCTTAATTTTTTTGAGGCTAACGATGAAGGATGAGAATGTGTGTCTGATGCGAGCCCCTGAGTGGTTATTTAATCCGTGTCATTTATTTGGCTGATATTTCAGCTCAGCAAATAAGCAGGCATTTTCATACATGGTTCTGGTAAATATTATGTACAGATCATGGGGCCTAGCATTCCAACCAGCCTCTGAATTACTAGGAATAGGGAATTATTCAATATTTCTGCAAGATGCTTTTAATGATCCAGGTTTCCTTTATTTAAATGGTTACTAAAATACCTCTTAATTATGAGGATCCATCTGATGTTTTACCTGCCAATTTATAGCCAGTGCACATTCTTAGGGTTTGAAAGAGCTTTAGAAATGAAAAGCCATCTGTGGTGACAATGTCAGAAGAATCAAGATCAAAGTTACCAGTTTTATAAAAGTGCTACAGAACATGCAATCAAAACTGGTACGACTTGGAAGGAATTCCCTGAAGCAACAGTGGTGTCCTTAATGGCAAAGTGGACAATGGGGGAGGCTCAAACCAACTATCCACCCAACCATCTTCCAACTGTTTAGTCTGGTAAGGGTCATAAGGGGCCCTGGAGTCTCTCCCAAGCAGTATAAGGCAGGTGTAAATCCTCAGCTGGATCCCAATTTGTCATGGGGCATAGACACACTCATTGTGTGCAATTTAGAGATGCCCATTAGCATAAATGTAGAAGGAATGTCACACGACATAGAGTGAACATGCAAATGCCCCCTCCACCCCCACACATGCAGCGTGGAGACAGCAAATGGACCCCCAGCCCTGGAGATAAGAGGCATTCAGTCACCAGGCTGTCCTTGATCAAACCACCTTTAACTTAACAGATAACTGCATCAACACCAGTATCATACTGAGTAAATTATGTAAAACTTTGAATAGTATGATCCACTGCAAGTCCTCATAGAAAAGACGCCGAACCAAGCCAGGAGGAAATTATTTTTCTCTGAAATGTGAACCTACAGTATGTTCACCTGGATTTTACTCTGTCTCTGATGAAAGAACATGCTGCATGAAATTAAACATCTCAGATGTGCTTTTCTTCACTGCCAAATCTCTGTTTTAGACTGGCCTTCATGAAAACGTACCAGTAGGTTAGATATGTTCAGATTGCTTGTATTGGCTTATTTTAGGGCTCATAATCTGTGCCATCCTGGTCCTGCCCAACAGTTCCCTCTGCGCCTTCCAACCCCGCTGGCCCCTTGGCACCATCTTGCTCCTGTTAATCAGTCTTCTTGGCACCAACCTGTCCAGCAGTTCTCTCACCGCACTGCTGTTCCTGCCCATACTGTCTGAACTGTCTGAACATACTTGCACGCCTGATCCTGATGTTACCCCTCATTTGTCCTTGATTTAAGTACCTGTTTGTCTTGTTAGCCCCAGTGCGGTTATTGACGTCAAACCCATGTGTTGCCTGTGCCCTTCCTAGCTCCACTCCTCCTGTTTTGATCTTGTTTATTTCCAGCTTATGTTCTTTAAATTCAATAAATCCTCTTTCTGTTTCTTCACAACGCCTGACCTCAGGTCATTTGCTCCTCCAGCCATGACACACCATTTAATTTTGGAGAATTGAGTACCTCCACTATGTACTGGGGGCCATCAGCTTTATTTTATAAAACTGTATATATTTTTTTCATAAACATAGTCTGATACCAGAGGTACTTTATTGAACAGGCTTACTCAGGCTGAAGCCGGGGACTAAATGGGGGCCTTAACCAACCTTGTTTAACAGCAGTTTAACCCCCCCCCCAACAACATCTGTTATAGCTATCGACATCTATATCATCATAGATGATATAGGGCCATCTGTTGCTTCTCTTGTTAGAAGAATAATATTTAATCGTTTCTGAGAGAACTAATCACATTGCCCCATCTCAACCCTCTTTTTCACATCAGCTATAAGATCCAACATGATAGTGCCACATAGGAACCAACTTATTAACAAGATTATAAGAAATGGCAAAGGGCTAACATGACCATTATTTAAATGGCTTGTAGCTGCATATATCTAACCCCACACCCACTGTCTATGTGTAGCGCGTTGCCAGTCTATACACAAGAAACTGCTATACTGACAATGAGATGTTCTGTACTTACTGTTCAGGCACAGTCGGTGTCTTCTTGTCTTTCAGGATCTATCATTGCAAGTTCTAAATTCCCCCATCCTTGTACCTAGTTGGTCTAAGGCAATATTTCCCAACCCGGTCTTTGGGGACCCCCAGACAGTGCACATTTTTGCTCCCTCCCAGGTCCCAGGAGCAAAAACGTGGACAGTCTGGGGGAGAGATGGGGGGGCCCCCAAGGACCAGGCTGGAAAATATTGGTATAAGGATTTCTTATTTTCATCTGGAAACCTATAACTGGCCTCACTCGATAGGTTTGGCTTTCACTGCCTTGTTTAAAGTACAAACACATTATTCCACAGAAAATGTAATCAAAAAAGAACTTCAAATATGTTTGCATGCTGTTTTCAACTTGGAGTCCCTAGAAGGTTATTGTTGTGTAATTTCTGGTTTTATGCTATATGTTTATAATACAAGTGTCACGCCCCGCCGTTGAACCAATACCGGGACTCCATGTTGGATATAAGCCCGAAGACACCACAGCCCGGTGCGAGGTATTGTAGATGAAAAGATACATACTGAGCGTGACTTTCCCTGTCTTTCGTATAGCTCCGTTCCACCCTGCTTGCCCTGCCCGACTCTCCCTGCGACCCGTCTCGACCTCCCTCCTGCCCTTCCTCCCCTCGCTCTTCCTCCTCGTGAATACCCCATGTGCCTTGTCTGTCTTCGGGCGGACCTCCCGGCTCTCAACCCCTTTGCCTGCGACCCCGACTACGGACCCGGATCCTGACCCTGGCCTGCCCGATCTCGTAGTTTTTGACCCTGCCTGCACGACCACGTTCCTGCCCGCTCCCAGTCTCTGTTCCTTCAGCACTGTCCAATAAAGGATCTGTCAAAGTACAGTTAAAAATATATAAGTACAAAGGATGCCAAACTGCAATGTTCTCATTTTACTTTAAATGATCCTATTATTAATAACTGGCTTGGCGCCCCATCTTGGTGACCATGCATTGATATGACATGCAGGTATATAAAGTAGATGGATTGATTTTTGAGAACCCCAAGATGTTAAAATGAAATGGCCATAAAGGACATGAATTAGAAAGATGGTATAGAAATTAGATGGTCTGATTGAGTAAATGAGCTTAAAGGACAGGAGCAGTATAACCACAAAGGTTGGTATCCTGCTATTTGCCAGCTGTCCTGAGTCAAGGCGAGAACATTAACTGATTATGTCATTTGTTGCCTTTTTACATTACATCACCCTTCTAGGTCCCATTGTGCATTCAGACAGACAGATGCCATATATGCTGACATCCACCCCAATGAAAAAGTCAGTACTCATATGTGGGGTAGTTGGCAGGAACTTCGACAGATGTGATCAACTGATTGCGTTGGAAAATTCACACAATGGAAACCTTCACTGAGCCAAGAGTTCCACATTACAGTACCTCAAAGGTTTGTGGTGATGTAAGAGAGTAATGGAAGCTTGCGTAAAGCCCCCCCCCCCCCCGTTCCTAAGAGGCAATACGACAGAATGTCAGGTATGGGATGACATATCTGAGGTCTCTAACTTCAATCCAAAACCTACACACTGTTTACAAATTCCTTTTTTGTAGATGACTTTACTTTTTTGGGGGGAGAAAAATGAGAGCAGTCTCTTTAATTTTTTTGTTTTCTATTTTAATGTTAAAAAGTTTAATAGCAAGAAAGTGAAGTTTACAGCTGCAGCCACCTTTCTCAGGCTTTGCCGCTCTCAGACCCTGTTGCTCTCAGGCCCTGCTGTTTCCAGGCCCCGTCGCTCCCAGGCCCCGTCGCTCCCATGCCCCGTCGCTCCCAGGCCCTGCTGTTTCCAGGCCCCGTCGCTCCCAGGCCCCGTCGCTCCCATGCCCCGTCGCTCCCAGGCCCTGCCACTCTAAATTAACTTTTTTTTTAACCCCCTGGGGTTGAGTGCATCATCGACGATGCAGCATATTTTTCGCGCCTGTTTCAGTTTATATCTCGCTGAAATCTTTATGTAGAATCGTGAAAAAAACGCTGACTAAATCCGTAATCTGTCTTCTTTCCAAAACGTCCATTGTCAGAAGTATTAACGTTTTGAAAATTAGGTTAAATCTGCAAAAAATAAACCGTGTCACCTTACCTTGTTTTACCTGCATCAGGGGCATTCGCATGGTAATTTGATGAACAACGCAATGGTGAAGCGTGATCCAGATACTGTATATCATCGTCAGCGCCATAAAAGGGGGGGGGGATGTGGCCAGGTGTGAATGGCTCATTCATACACATAAGAGCTCCTACATATTCAATGGCAGGAGGCCAGAAATAGTGACATGAGTTCGGTTTTTCTTATTTATCCAACTGAATGTTGCATCTACACCATTCAGTCATCTTCATGTAGCCAAGACTTTGGTGATCAGATATCTGGGATCAAAACAACCTGGTACCATTGCATACTTTGTACTTTTATAATGTTTCTGCAAGTGTGACAAACTGCATTTTGCAATTTCTATACTTTGATGACAAATTACAAACTTAACATAAATCTAACATATTTACAATATACATTAAAATTAAGATGAGTGTAATGCCAAAACAAATATATAAGAAATAATTTATTTGCCATGAATTAAGTTTATGATATTTGATGAAATGTGTGATCATGGCCCAGTCAGTGAAAGTGTGTTTCCTACCCCCAGACCCCAGAAGGTTAACCAGCAACACTATTTATATCTGCTGATTACTGGCATTCATGTATGTTGAAATCGTTTATTCATTATGAAAGTGACAAGTGAAAGTGAAGACTTTAAAAAATTTTTTAAATGAATAAAAAGCAGTGTGACCCCCTTTGGGATTTCAACCTGCAGTATTTTGGCAGAAAGTCCCACTCGCTGACTGTTGCTCCATCTGCTACCAGCTGCTGCAGTGAGCCATGGCCATAAAAGCCAATGCAATGAGTAAAGGGTGTTGCTATGTAAGCCACACGATGCTCTTCTGGGAACAGGAGGCACAGCAGAAGTGGACAAGTTGCCCCGTCGCTCGGGCTTTGGCATGTGCATGTGGCTCTTTCCCTATCTGCCCCTTGAGACATTTTAAGCCTGCATCATTTTCCAGAACAAACGTGAGGTTGCTGGGATGTTATGTTTGTATTGTCCTGGACATACGAGTGACAGATTAGCCCCCACGGGCGTATCCTGTGACCACAAGGCTTTACTCCGCAGGACCACTCCTGCCAAAACACCCTATGTGAAGACCATAAAGGGTTTGTTTCTTTGGATTTGCCGTTGACGTAAGATGTTACTTCTGCCACATTTTGAGATCCTTCTGAAACGTATCATGAGTTTTATTATGAAAATCATGAGCAATTATGAAATCAAATCCCATGAAGCTCAGATGTGGAACATGGTGTGCAGTGGAAATCCATTTTTACTTTAAGCACTTTTTAAGAATCACAATGCCTTGAAACTAAAAGTAACCAAAAAAGAATATTTATCAGTTAAATACTAAGCTCAAATGTCTTTGCAACGGATTACTTAATAAAAGAATTACATTAGCGCAATTACCTAATCATTACAATTATCTAATCAGATTGGGTGTATGTGATATTGTAGAAAATTGCCCTTTGTGCTGTATATCAAACTATAGAACCACATGTAACATACAGTTTGATGCACAACACCAAAGGAAATTCCCAGCTAAGAATGTGTGTTTGTCTCAAACTAACCAAATGTTACATCAATCCCCAAGTCACAGCAACATGCTGGACAGTACTCTGCTTGAGTAGCTTGACTATAATCCATGACCTTTTAAGTCATTCAAAATTTTGCAAATTCAGGCTCTAATGCATTATTATACCCTACAGGTCTATTATCTGCTTAAGGTAGGGTGTCTTCCCTAGGTTTTCTTTATTTAAATATTTATAGTTTACATGATAAAATGATTATATACATAAAATATGTTTACTTCTATTACGTATTTCCGCTTCTAATAAATATTTACTTTTATGTAAGGAAAACTATAGATACGTATCACTAAGACTGCATTTTTTATTAGTTTTGTCAAAAAATAGCCTCAAGCACATTTTCAAAAGTTTCATATAAAAAGATTTAAGATGGCATCTCTTTTTCATTGTCTTCCTTTATATATGCACATATGAACAGTGGTACCTCAGTTCTCAAACTCATTATAACTCGAATTTCTTAAAAGTCGAACCAACCAGGTCAAAAAAAATTACCTAGAACGCGATCTGAATCTCAGAAGTCAAACCGTGAACGTCCACCTAAGATAATTTGTACGTGAGGGGAAATGAGTCACGCCGCACGTCTCTCAGCGGAAACAAAGGGTAACGCTTCAGTCCTAGCCTCACATTCGCTGTGATAGCATCGTGCATGTTTACACTAGCTGAATACATATATTTAGACAGTAAAAATACATTTAGACAATGATAGACAGTAACAGTAATTATTATATAATAAAATACATTTTAAAATAAAGATTTCTTATTAATAATTTTAATATAATTAATAATAAACCATTAATACATTTAATTATAATAATATTATCGTACCCACCGGGAGGGAACGGAGACAAAGGCACAGACGTCAGGGTATCGGGGAATACGGGGTTTAATTACAGGTAAGGCAGGCAAAACGCAGACGGAAAATACAATGACCGGATTGGGGAAACAAACTGAAACGTGGACTAAATACAGAGGACTAATGACAACAGCCAGAAACAGCTGATCTCACGGGGATTCCACACGGGGTTAACGAGGGGGCGTGGCACACGGAAGGAGCGCTCGGACGATCGGGACAGGACACATTGTTTGGATAGATTTTTTTTCTTACTTTAAAAATTACTGTTTTGATAAATGTGCTTAGATGTGTTTAGTACAGTATATACTCTTCTTGTTTTATCCGGTTCATTTTGTGTTTAAATGCTAAAAAAAAATAAAACATATTTTGGTGTAATTTAATTGGTTTTCCATTATTTCTTATGGGGAAAATTCGATCAGAACTCAAACTTTTTAGGAACCGATCCAGAGTTCTGAACGGATTAAGTTCGAGTTCTGAGGTACCACTGTATATCGAAAGCTAAAAAAACAAAGCGCAGGGTATTAGATTAAGAAGAGAAAAGTAACATGTTCCGTATAAGTGGTTATCAAAATAAGAAAACAAGCAGTTTAGCAGAATAGAACAAAAAAGAAGGTAACCTTAGATAGCCATAGTTTCAGAACATACATATCTAAACCCAGCTAACTGACCACTTCTGGCTGGTATTTGATGTGTTGAGGATAATCTCTGTCATTCTTGCTCCCCTGGTTGCCCCTCACTGCTGTGCTCTTGAGAAGGCAGTGACCTTTGAAGTACAGCTGTCTCGTCCTCACACTCAAGAGGTGCCACATTGTCATAGTCCTCCAAGGGAGCAGCCTCTATTTCACACACTACAGCTTCTCCTTCTACAACAAACAGGTAAATATTGTCACATAAACAATCATTGATGAACAGTATAACAGACAGTTATCGGCATGCAACACAGAATAAAAGTTACAGTGATACGAGAAACAGTAGTTTTTTCTCGATTACAGGAGTTGATCATGCATTTTTGTAAAGGACTTTAATGTATAAGCGCAACTTTCGTCTTACCCCGTGCGAGAGGGGCAAGCCTCGGTCGTCATACTAACCTCCTTCATGCATAGTCATGCTCATCATTTCTTTGTCATCAGATTCAACATTCTCGTAATCACCACTCTCAAAAACAGACGAATGTTGTTCTGTACGTCTCGCTGTAGAACACATTGTGCATGGTGACCTTTTAGTATAGCCCCCTGACCTATATGTGCCATAGTTTTGAGGTTAAGAATACTGAAGTCAAAACAGCACAACTGTTGAGTTCTGATCAACATCAGGTGTCTAATGCTCTGTTTTTGATTGTCATAAAACGTCTCAGTTCAACTATGCTTGGTTTTGAAGAAAACACAGTAATTTACTTACCCACTACACATACAGGTGGACACGCTGAAGCCCTTTTATTCAATTTGAAGTTTCAGTGTCAACATAGTTACTATGTTTTGCCTTTGTAGGGCAGAATGACACATCCAGGATTTTAACTGAACAATGGTAAAATATCGTAATCCCCCCCAAAGTCCATGTATAACAATCATGTGTCATAGTATGGTATTTTCATAAAACTGAAACAATGCTAAAGAAGCTGTAGAAACTTTTTATTTGCTTATGAGTTAAATATTCCCTAAAATAGTAAAAAAAAAACAAACAAAAAAAACAGGAAGAGCGCCCTCTGTTGTTAGTCTTCAGCTTTGTCTGAACTAAGTTTAAATGATAATTACATCACAGATATATTCCTCACATGTCGTACTCTGTACTGTACTGTGGAACTATGGTTCAACCATAAGACAGGAAGTTCCAAAGCACTTCCTGTAACATGAGTTATATTGTATTTATTGAGGGTTACCCTTTCGTACTCCTTTCCAAATCCCATCAAATTTAGCCCCTTCCTTCACTTACATTTTCTGGCTCTTTTGCGCCTTGCCTGCCGGAACATGAAGGCAGCTACTATGATAACAAGCGAGGCCCCCAGGATTACTCCCACGATCAGACCAGCTGAGCCGCGGCGTGGATCATCTATATACTCTGAAACCAAACACATTAATCGGGATGAGCTTCAACTTAACAACACACATATGAACCACATCCACAACTCTCTCTTAATAGTTTTTCAGAGGTGAAAAATGTTTTTTAAAAGCTTAAGGGTAGCATCAATTATACAATTAAAGGGGCTAGTTCAGTGTTTCTTAACTCGGTCTTCAGTGACCGCCAGATGGTCCATGTTTTTCCTCCCTCCCAGATGGTCCATGTTTTTCCTCCCTCCCAGATGGTCCCTGTTTTTGCTCCCTCCCAGATGGTCCATGTTTTTCTCCCTCCCAGATGGTACCTGTTTTTGCTCCCTCCCAGATGATACCTGTTTTTGCTCCCTCCCTCCCTTCCAGCTCCCAGCGACAGTCCACATTTTGGACTGTCTGTGGGTCCCCAAAGACCAGGTTAACCAGGGTGGGGAACACTTGTCTAGTTTAATTGATGATGCCCATACAGTGGTGTAACATCATCCTCCACTGCTGCACATAAACTGAGTAACACATGAGACATGAGCATCCCTGCATTATCTTCCCACACAGTCCACGTGAATGTGCTCTCAGAAACAAAAATAGCAGCTGCTTCACGAGACACTTTAGGTGTAGGTGTTTCAATCGTAGAAAGTAGTGCAGCAGCGTAGAGTACGGCAGAGGAACAACAGGTGGCTTTGCAGTGCAGCAGCGTAGGGTACGGCAGAGGAACAGCAGGTGGCTTTGCAGTGCAGCAGCGTAGGGTACGGCAGAGGAACAGCAGGAGGCTTTGCAGTGCAGCAGCTTACAGTAGGGTACGGCAGAGGAACAGCAGGTGGCTTTGCAGTGCAGCAGTGTAGGGTACGGCAGAGGAACAGCAGGAGGCTTTGCAGTGCAGCAGCTTAGGGTACGGCAGAGGAACAGCAGGAGGCTTTGCTCTCTCACACCTCCAGGGTACAGGCTTCAAATTCGGCCCAGTGGCGCTACGTCTGAGCTCTCCTTGAATGTGAATGGGTTTTTCTCCCGTAGTCCAAAGATAGCAATTCTGATGATGTCGCCCTTAGTAAGCAGATATGTGTGTGCAGGGGCGGATTAAGGTGCACAGAGGCCCCTAGGCTACAGTAGTCTGTGGGCCCCCCAACCCCGCCCCCCTCCGTGCCAATGGGGGCCCCCTTGCAGGCTGGCACACGTGGGGCCCCTAGGCTTAAGCCATATCTAGCCTGTGCGTTAATCCGCCCCTGCGTGTGTGAGTGTCCTGTGACTTGTCTCTCACCCAGCACATATCTCGTTGTGAGTGCAATATCCCACACAAACCCTGATTAGGTGAGCGGTTACTGAATCTTGAGAGGAACACGGGTTAGCATAGCATAGCATTACCAACGCATACGTGTTGAACTAATATTTAGCCTCACTTTCGCAGTAGATCTCAGCAGATATGTCTGAGCTACAGTCTTTTCTTTGTACACAGTACTTCATGAAGTTTTCAGGGCCTTTGCACTGCAGAGAATTGTTCAGATTGAGAGGAACAGGGGATAAGGGAACTTGGAGGCTCTCCGATTTGTTCCCGACATCTCCGCACGCCAGCTCTGAACATATTATTTGTCTCTCCTTTAGCGCAGAACTGCTAAGGGGGCAAACGCGTTCACAGCTGTTTCCGTAGCAGATTTCAAACAGCCCTCCACAATTCTTAGACAGCCGAAATGTGATGCTATCTGGAATGAGAAAATGTAAAAAACAAATTATTCTCTTTCTACATCTATATCTTCATAGTATCTTTTCACCTATAAACAAAATGGTAATGGATACTGTTCTGAATAAATAGTTTTACTTTATCCCAAATGCACAATCATTTAAGCAATTATATCTGTACCCCTCCCTATCACAACATTTAATTCTGAGAAATATATCTGTTTTCATACATTAAAAATAGTGCAAATAGTTTTTTATATATATATATATTGGGTCACATACCTGTGCAAATCACAGAGACAGTACTATGACAATTGCCCAGCTCTGATTTACACTGCCCGAGGTTCGACTCTTCACCGATGCAGTGGAAATGGTAGGCCTGATGTTTAACTGAGAATGGAGTGAGGTTGTAGACAGCATCGCCACACAACAGCTCCTGGCAAACCAATCTGGACTTTGCCAAGTTCCACCCATCGCCACAAATGTTCTGCATTGCGCCATTATGGTTCATCTGTACCGTGCCAAGGCAACTGCCGCCATCAGATATCTCCACAGTTCGGTTATCTGTGAAGTAGAAATGAAGCACTTTGCCATTAAAAGCTGGTCAGCGGTAGCAGTCACTGTGACTTTAAGAGGGCTCCCCTTAGCTTCTGTTTTACCTGAGCAACTGATGAAGAGCTGCTGCTCAGTTATGATTGACCTGCTGCTTGTTTTGCAATCCCAGATTTTATCCTCCTTCCCGGTACATTTGTATGTCTCTGGCCACCACTTTTCCAGAGTACTCTGCAGGCCCCGTTGCTGGGCGTATGTCCCACATTGCAGGTTTCTACACAGCACCTGGCTCTCATTTTCATTCCAGCCCTCCACACTCACAGGTTGGAGACTCTCCCCACTCACCATGAACACCCTGCCCTCACATGGACCACTGCCGCCAATCAGCAGCACGCGGGCCCAGCCTGGGAGCAGGACAGCGGAACACGGGGAGAAAAAAAAACTCAATTCCTGCTCAACAGGATGTGTCCCTGGGAAAGGCAGCAGTAATTGAATCTCAGCCAATCATTATACAGTATACCGTCAAAAGTATCCCAACACTTGGCCATTACACCCACAGGAACCTTTTTGACATCCCATTCTAAACCTACAGGTATCAGGATGGAGTTGGTCCCCCATTTGCAGCTATTTTAGCTGCCTCTCTTCTGGGGAGGCTTTCCACAGGATTTTGGAGTGTGTCTGTGTGTCCATTCACCCCGAAGAGCATTTGTGAAGTCAGGCACTGATGTTGGACATGAAGACCTTGTTCACAATCTCCATTCTAGTTCATCCCAGGTCTTCAGTGGGGTTGCGGTCAGGGCTCTGTGCGGGCCAGTCAATTCACACAACCATGTCTTTATGGACCTTGCTTTGTGCACTGGGGCACAGTCATGCTTGAACAGCAAAGGTTCTTCCCCAACCTGTTCCCACAAAGTTGGAAGCATAGAATTGTCCAAAATGTCTTGGTATGCATACCAAGACATTTTGGACAAGTTTATGCTTCCAGCTTTGTGAGCTGAATGGGAGTAGAATGGGGGTGTCATAAATGTACCTGTGGGAGTAATGGCCAGGTGTCCCAATACTTTTGTTCATATAATGTACTTTCATGATAATGGCCTGTGCTACCCTTTACCTGAATTATGAGTAAGTCAGGCCTGACTTTTGAAAAACACAAACATATCATTAATAAAAGTTATTTAAAAAAAATAAATAAAATAAACATAAAAATGTCACATTACAGATACTCAGTGGTAATGTATATATTTTTATGTAACATTTAAAATAAACACACCACGGCCATGTCTTGGAAAAGTTCTTAGAAAACACAGCAGCATTTGCAAAAAAAACTGTAAAGTATTAAAGTATTACTGAATTACTGAACTACAAATTGATGTTAGCAGGGTAAAAGGAAAAGCTGAATGTCTTGAAGCAGTATTCACTTTTGGACACGGTCATAATGCTTGTATTGCACATGAAAAACACATGAAAACACATGCACATGAAAAACACATGGTGATTGTCCCCAGGAACACTGACCGTGAGTCGGCTGATAATGAGCAGCACATGGAGGACATACGTACCCGAGCAGTTTAGGTTGACTTGATTGCACTGATTCTTCCCATTTCCTATTTTACAGTGTTTTATGGAGGCATTACATTCAACTTCCTTCAGTCCTACCACAGATGAGTTAATGGGGTTGACACTCTTCATTTTTCCACAGCCTGCTCGTTCACAGATCAAATCAGGAAGGTTTCCTTTTAGTGTGTCTGAGCAGATGGGACTCCACTGTCCCAAGTGGAAGAGCTCAGCGGTGCCAGAACAGTGATACACCGAATCCCTCAGTTTAGCTTTTAAACTTGCTGAAAAAGACCCACAAGACTAATTAACATGTTCTTTGTTTGCAGCTGTTGTATACATGACGCATGCACATAAGTATGTGTTCATATTCGCGCGCAGCTTCTGCATTAACAATGACAAGAGCCTGAGCCACACATTTCATCCTTCCCTGCTACTGTGAGTCTCTTTGGACTAAAATGGCTTAAAGGTGTTTAAAGCTTGAAAATAAAGTGTTTGTGAAGCCTGTAATCAACAGAATGTGGAGAGCAAGTAGCTTTCAAGCAGTTTCAGGGGGATGTGAGGATCCAATCTTTGTGGAGGGGCATGATAAAATTTGGTGAGCGAGGAGTTAGGTATCAACCAAAACAGGTAGATTTACCTTTACATACGTTACATTACAGACACCAATTTAGGGGGATGGTGAGTTTTCGTTATTTTTTCCCCACAGTGGGGATGCCATCCACACGCATCCCATTACAACTTGAAACCTGCTTTTAAGGAATAATTAACCTAAATAAAAAATAGCAAACATGATGCTACCTGAGCAGAACACTCTGGCGGCCTTCTTGCAAGAAGAATTATCCTGGAGCTTAATATTGCACTGCGTTATGTTTTTAGTTGGCGCTGGGCAGTAGATACTGTTATATAGGACTGAATTATTCAGTTTGTGCTGGTCCATCGCCGGAAAAGCTTTTCCACAGCCCAGGTTCTCACACAGCATCTCAGAGAGATCCTCTGTCCATGAGCTAGCGCAGACCGCGCCACAGATCCCATTTTTGCATATCTCCACCTGCCCCCAGCAAGTGTTTTCCAGACGAACAGAAACACTGCCTGCAAAGACAGTAGGTGCATTAGAATTCTGACTGCGATGTGTTAAAAGTAAAATTATAAAGAAACAGCAGATTATTAGGCCCAAACACTTTACCTGAACAGGTCACGTAAGCCACTGCACTTTGGTTGGCACGTTCTACTTTTTCACAGTCAAAGAGGGATGTCTTCTTTGATGAGCAGTTATACAGGTACTTCCACCATGTCTGATCTGCCTCTTCAGATAGTCTGCTTTCAAAGGAAACGGCGTACCCACATTGCCTTTCTCGACACACCACGGTGGCCGACTGATTGGTCCAAGTCTCCTTAGATGCTGCGAGCCAATAGTTGGTGCCCCTGTATTCGACGCCCACTTGACCAGTGCAGGGCACCTGACCCTGAAGGTGAAGAGTTCTGTACTCTAACAAGCAGGGAATGAACAAAAAGAATTAGGCAGGATCTGTGTGTAGTAAGTGACAGAGAAATGGCTTTGCCGTTGGCGGAGGGCCCTGTGTGAGGATGTAGTGCTTCAAATAAGGTCTTGTTAAAATATGCTTAGTTTAAAAAATAGGCAAATCACAAGTTAGGTTGTATATAACCATATTTCTGAATTTATTGCAAAATAAAAAAGGTGCATATGCCAAAGTCCTAAGCTTTGACAGAAACCTGTTATACTTTTCTGTTTTCTTTTCATTATGATTCCTCTTTTTGACTTTGAAAATTCATGAATTTTACATGCAATTTAACTACAAGGAAATAAGCCAAAAATTAAATATTTGCCTGCCAATAAAATAATTCAGAAGATGTTTCTTATATGGGAAAAATACACAAAATAGCTTCATTGAACAGAATGAGTAGTACATTTTTGGTTGAATTTGTGTTATGTTCACCCGTCATCTGGAACTTAATACTCATCACTATTAGGATGGTAAGATCATGGGATGCCTACAGGGACTGTCCATGGAAAACACGTCCTGCTTACCTTCACATGTTACTTTGATATTGTGTTTCGCAGTTATAGTTAATTCCTTTAAATGCTGTCCAATTGTGGTCTTAGCAGGACTCTGCACCATAATCGAAACCGGTGCCTCTCCCTCCATATATAACTTGCCACTGTGGTTATAGCTGAGACCACACTCTTGATTTTTGCAAACCAGATCTGAGTGTTGCTTTGCCCAGCCGTGTTCACTCACACTCATCCAGGTGCCACCATAGAACACCTCCACGATGCCAGAACACTGGTCGATGCCATGAGTAAGACGCAGCTCTAAACTCTCTGTGCACACAAAACACAGCATATACCTTTATAAAACAGCCTAACTATCACCCATCACGTTCTCTTAACACACATGAAGGACCGGTCATGAGCATGAGACCATATAACAATGCATTACATTTATTAAATGATAATGCTGACCTTCACAAATAACAGTAGCTTTCTTGCACTTAGCGACTGGTTTATGTTTGGCTACGCAGTGCAGAAGGGAGGATTCTGAACCATCACAATCCATATGGTCGACCTGACCATCTCCCTCAGTCGTGATTTGGCTAAAAGACAAAGCTTCTCCGCACTTCAGCTCCCTGCAGACCACTCTGGCGTCTTTAGTGTCCCACGAACCAGCACACACTGCCTCATGCTTCTCATTTCTCTTGAAATGCACAGCCCCAAAACAGCGACTCTCCTTTTCTTCTACCAAGAGCACCAGTGTAACATTGTCTGCCACAAAAAAAAAGGTGTTTGCACACTGGATATCGCTGCCAGTTTGTAATATAGAGAACCTGCTGTTCATTGACTCATTTCATTAGACCATGAACACATGCAATATCAACTTACTATTCTAAATCAAATATCTATTTTAAGTGTTAACACTTTCAAATGGAAGTGATATTAAGAAGAGTAAAACCTTTGCTTTACCAGAACAGGTGAGACTGATGTCTTGAGAAGTATTACAGGATAAGTGTTGCTGAGGGCTCGAGGTACCACAATGCAAAGTTTTGCATATAGTGTCAGGATCGACCAGAGGATAGCTGGTGTTACATACTGGTTTCCATGTCTTGCCCACTCTCCCCTCCAACTTGCCTGCACAGAGGTTTTCCCCGTGGCTCAGACGCAGATGTATATAATCTGTTAAAAGAAAAATGTTTTTTCCAATTTAAAATGCATGAGCAAACCAGTGAAATAAGAGAGGAGGAATTCAAGTTGCTTCAAAATCACAGTTCTCCATTTTGTACAAATTAGTTCCATCAGCTTTTCACAAGGTTTCTAATAAGAACATAATAAATTTACAAACGAGAGGGGGCCATTCGGCCCATCAAGCTCGTTTGGGGAGAACTTAACTAATAGCTCAGAGTTGGTAAAATCTTATCTAGCTCTGATTTAAAGGAACCCGGGGTTTTAGCTTCCGCTACACTAACTGGAAGACTATTCCATACTCTAACTACACGCTGTGTAAAGAAGTGCTTCCTCAAATTTGTTTTAAAATGTTCTCCCACTAATTTCTACCTATGGCCACGAGTTCTAGTATTTGAACTAATATCAAAATAACTATTAAATATTTACTATTAATATTTGTACTTTTAAAGATTTTGATGATTTGTCCTTTTTAGTCTCTTTTATATATTTTGCAGGAAAATTATGATATTTAAAAAGGATGGTATGAATGTAGTATAAATGATATCTCACATATTTAATTACAATATGGTGACTGATTTTAAGTTTACTTAATTCACTGAACTATTGTCCCTCCCAAAGATTTTACAAAAATGCAAGGAAACTCAGATCTAGTCTGAGGTGCCTGTTTAAATTCTCACTCATTTCATGCCAATGTAGATTTTTTGATGCATGTTATACTACTACTACTACTACTACTAGCACTACTACTAGCACTACTAGCACTACTACTACTACTACTACTACTAATAATAATAATAATAATAATTGTTGTTGTTGTTGTTAATATTATTATTGTTGTTGCTGTTGTTAATATTATTATTGTTATCGTTGCTATTATTACTGTTATTATTACAACAGTATTAATTATCACCCCTGCAGTTATAAGTGTGCTGGTAGCCAGGCACTGCAGCATGACTCTGACAGCCAGAGGAGAAAGCAGGAGGCTTACTTGAACAAATGACTCCTGCGGCATCTGAGCAATTTTCTTTGATCGTTTTCTCACATTTCCAGAGGTGCTTCTCGCTGCCGGTGCACTTCACAGAGATCATGGTAGTGAGCCCTTCGGGCGAAAAGATTCCGGCGTTTGGGATACGGTCAGCCTCCCCACAGTCCAGCTGACGACACACGACGTTGGCTGCATTTTTATCTAAACCAAAGGAAACACATAGCGGAGAATGAGTGCCGCTCTTCAGATAGTGAATTTCACAATAAAAATGCAGTAAAGCAATGCATGAATAGTGTGTGCAGTAGTAGGTAAAGGTTTTACATTAAAGAAATGTCTCTCTGGAGGAGGTTTATTGATAAGCTTATGAAATGAAAAGCCGCTGACAGTCTTACCCCAGGTGCGATCATGGCACACAGGCCTAGTTCCATTTGAATTTGTGATCTGAACGGCTCCGGCACATTTGTTTGTTAAGTTCAGCACTATATTTTCTAGGGTGAAATAAATAAATAAATAAATAAACAAACAAACATCCCAATAGATGAATGTATCAAAGTTGGGGTACACCCTGGATGGGGCACCAGTAAACTTGCACTTGAAACACATAGAGACAGAACTAGCTATCGAATAAATAAAGAAGTGTACAAAACTTCCGTATACTGTAATAAAAAAAGTCATTTGTTTGTCTGAGAAACATGCTAACTGGGACGGAGACGGAGATGAGTCTAAGGATACCGGGGTCTGTATATCAGCTTTCAGCTTATCCACAGAATGCATTACATGTTGCTAACATGTTTTATATAAGTACTCAAAATGTTAATTAGGTAGTACTTTTGAACCTGAGCATTCAACGTTGACGTGATCAGACGTATGGCTGCATGCACTGATGCCCCAGCCAGGGAACACGCAGTTCCACAGATTTGTTTCGTTTCCAAAGCACTCGACGTTATTCATCCACATCTTATTAGGTAGGTCAGAATAGCTGCGTCCCTTGGTATAATTCTGGGGGCTCCCGCATCTTAACATGTTGCAGACCACTTTCTCATTGGCCTTCGTCCACTTCTGGCTACAGACAACGCCCCAGCTCCCATTGTAGAACACCTCTACACGACCAGTACAGGGCTTTTCACTCCCCTGCAGACGAACTCTTTGGCTTTCTGTAAGAAAGAACAATGAAAAATGTTCTATATTCCGAAGATTACTTAAATTCAGGATCAAGTATTAATATAATTCGATGTAGGGTTGTATTCGATGTAAGTTTTTTTTTATCAATCATAACTGGTCATTGGATTTTGACATAGTGTTACAGTATGTAGTCTATCCATCATGTTAGGTAACACTATTATGCAAGAATTTTGATGCAAGAAATAAGCAAATAAATGGTGGTAACATACGTTAACTAACAAAAAAAGGTTACATTTTCATCTTTAATAAGGGTGGCAGTGTTAGTCGGAATTTATGTTTAGGGCATGTACATAGTTTTCCATTATATATATTATTATGAGAATCAAATGTTGAAATAAGTGGTTTTCTGTAGGATTTGGCAGACCCACTTTTTTTGCGATAGTGTCAAAGCAACGTTTAGCAGAAAAATGGCTGACCACATTTTCTGCTGAAATGTACCTCGCTCTTATCATTGATGAGTTTCTGATGTGGCTATGAAGATAAGTATAACTCAGTTAGAGTCTGACCCAGACTCATCAGTCATTACAACCACAAATAAGCTTTCAGAATATTAGAATATTTTGTAAGTTCAAACTTTAAGGTGGTGGAGTTAAAAAAAAAAGTGAAGGGAAAAAAAATTTATGATGATGAACTGACTATGGTGCTACCTGGAGATTAGAATTTATATAAGAGAGCCATATACTATGTATACTGGGTAGTGTGGATTTGCTCTGAAAAAAAATTAAAAATTAACATTGGAACATATGTAAATTAACAGTAATACAATAACAAATAAAGAAGAATTTCTTCTGTTCTACAAAAACTTAGTTGGATACCTGGATGGAACCCGCTTCTTAAAATAGGGGTACCTCAGTCATACCAACCCAATTTCACCACTAGCTTAATTAAAATTATCGAATTAACTTAATTAGTTAAATTACTCAATGATGTATTCCTTAGCCAAACAAGGAGAGGTCGCAGTCAAGTCAAAAAATACATGGACACTTATTCGACAGTTGCTGCAAATGCTGGCATGATCTTAGGAGACGTTTTAAAATGACTTTTGAAAACACTTTAACAGATTTAATATCGCAATTTAATACCAACATGAAGATTTGAGTATCATCTAAGACTTTTCCATAGTACTGTCATTTGCGCTGTTATAACAGTCGATTGCCACAGATACTGTATCGCTTTTAAAGGTGAATGCGTACTTGTCTACCAGTTATCTACATCCCTGTATAAATACATTGGCCTACATATGAATAGCCTTAAGTAATACCTGTACATTTTGCCTCCATTTGTCCCGTGTTCATTGTATGCTACATTTTATCAACAATATTGCAAGTAGTATAGCTGTATATTTTTTATCTGAACCTCTTGCAAGGAAGGGGAAATAGTCTTGAAACTATGGGCAATGACAGTTATGGACAACAAGCCTGTCTGTCCTGTTACTGGCGTATTACTGACTTTCACGTCCATCCATGCACAACCCATCCTTGCTAACCACTTATCCAACAGAGAAGAACAGTCACAAAAAGCTAAAATGTTGTTATCCATGACTGAAAATATTTTAGAGGAAGCTTTTCATTATTCAATAATCTAAATTAATAGTTTCATACTTTAATGTAAACTGCGTGGCACACAAACAATTGTGTAACTAATGATTACTCATTTAATTACTCAGTACTCTATTAGGTTAGAATACTGTTGATCGTGTTAAATGAGAAGTTATCATTCAAATGCATTCGTGACATCCCTTCTGAATGCCGTATTCTTTGTAATTAATTTTGTAATTAAAAGTGTATGCTTGCATCTTTTGCATTTGATTTCTGCATAAAATGTCACCAATATTCGATTGATTATTTTATTTATGTAATAATATGGAAGTGAATGTGCCATAAGCATGTGTGCAGTATATGATCAATGCAAAATGAAATCCAAAAAAGTTACTAATTCAGTCAATATGAGCTAAATGAAATTATAACTTCTTTTGTCCATCTGTTTTCTGAAACTGCTTGCCCTGCTCAGGGTCACCTAAATAAAGGATCAATAGCAAATTAATTTACTTCAAGCAAGAGGTTATTGATAAAATGATTTTATTCAGCTATGCTGATATTATTGTTGATAACGCAAATGGTCATAAAATGAATGCGTGATTTGCACAGGTCCAAAAAGCTCATATACATTTAGACATTTATATCCAAATTAATTAATTATTAAGAATACAATTAGAGTAATAAAAGTTGCTGAATATGAAAGTAATTATTATTAAATTTAGGATGAGTCTGAACCGTTTTAGACAAAGGTTCTGCTAAAAGAACATTTAGTCACTTTTTAAATTATACATTTATAAATCTGAAATGAATCTTTTAAAATTATATTATATTATATTTCAATTTTGTGTAGATATTTATATTTGCATACATGAGTACAACTTTATTATTTAAACCAATATTAAATGCTTCTTAAACATATATAGGCCCCGTTCCCCATAAAAATGCAATGCAAAACATTTTGAAAGTTAGTAAATTCTCACCACATATCATCCATGCAGACAGGAGTAGTAAGGTGACCCTCATGTTTCCAGCGCAGAAGCCACAATGACTTAAGCTCACACAGAAAGCTGACATCAGTGTGCACCAACCAACATGATAGACATCTTGCTCATCGTGCCTTTATAAGGAACTGCGTTCTAAAATGGTTTAAACCAAATTTCAGAACTAGATATTGTATAAATAAGGCATTACTGTACAGTATATTATGTTTTATTATTACTGTTTTTTTTATTTCTTAATCCTTTTGAAGATGAGTCAAGTATTTGCATACAGTATATAAATACACTTCAGTTAATTCCTTATAAGGACATGTGATTTGGGTATATGACGCATAAAGAATGTTTTGTGCTGAAGTTTATATTAATATGAAATACATGTTTTTTTATCTGCATATTAGTAATATAATGTTATGTGCGTTTGTGAAAATTTGAGGGCTATATACCATCAATCTACCTCCAGGACCTGAAGGAAAACAACTCTGACATTTATCTTGCCTGCAAGAATGTCCACGAAGATCTCATTTTCAACAACAAAATCCGCTGCAGGTCATAACACAATACTGAATGAGAGTATATCTTGGCATATAGTTTTTCAGTACCCTTAAACATCCATTAACCGGCTGATTTTTATTTATCACTTCATTAAATCAGGCATTCAGAAATACTTCCCACGACTGATGAACCTTTAAAAATGGTTCTAGCATGGATGATAAACACATAAGGTTTCTATAGGAAACTGTACCAAAAGTTTACTGAGTGTACTTTTTATTTTACTTACAGTATATATGAGTGTATGCATGGATGGATGGATCTCCAATAATAAAAAAATATTTTTAAATCTATACATTATTTATTTTTTAATATATGAAAAATACTGACACATATACTGCATGAAGATTATTACGATATGCAAAGCACAGCCTTACCAATGCAGAGATAAAGACTTGAGTACTCATTCAAGGAAGTAAATAATTCAAAAACTAATAACAATAATTTGTTCTTCAATATCAGTTTAAATATAATGCAGATAAAAGTATAATGAAGACAATGCATTGGAACAAGATGTATATCAGCTTAAACATGATTAAGAAATTTACATGCAAAAAAAAAAAATGCCCTGCAACCTTATACTGGTAAAGAGGGTATGAATGATAGATGATCAAAGTATTTACATTTATAAGTGTTTTATCTTACAGGTAAACAAGTGCCAGGGAACAGACTTAAGATTACAGTCAGTGTGACATCTGTGTTTCTGTCACAAGTGGCACAGGTGACAGGAGAACCGCATGCGAGTGTGTGACCAACCGGGCTTACGAGGAAGACATGGACACTGCCATCAGCAATGCCAACCTGACCACTAAACTGATAATGACCGTTACAATGCGACAAATACACAAGTCACCAGGCAGGTCTGAAGCAGGTGAGACACATGGCAGCAGTCAGGGCAGGATAATTGGTAAATACGAGACACAACAGAGTAACACTATAAGTAAGTCTGACGGTTTCATTGTTCAGACAGCTTGTTTTTTAGGATAACTTTACTCCTTTGTCAGGGAGAAATGCAAATGAATTAAAAAAATAAGTACTTAAAACACTTAGGGTCTTCAGGGGTATCATGGTCAGAAAAGATTATAGATAATAAGATAATAACATATGCTCTTCCCAGCTTCTTCATTTTCAATATGCCTGCTTCATACACACACACACACACACGCTTAGACACACTCACACACACACACACATGCTTAGAGAGACACACACACACACTTAGAGACACTCACACACACACACACACATACACACACACATACGTGCGCACAGTAGGGTATACATATCCTTATGGGGACCGCTCATTCATTTCAATGGGAAAAATGCTAACGCTAACTATGACAACCTTAACCC